GGCCACGCCTGCCACCTGCTGGCCCGGCCCGGGGACACGGGGAGGCTGCGGTGGAGGGTCCGGGCTTCCCAACCTCGGCTCACCCCGAGCCAGGCGTCCCCCCAAAATGAAGCAGTGGCCAGGCTGGGCCACAAGGCCCAAAGGCAGATTTGGCAGCAAAGCAGGATTCACCCCAGCCCCTGAAAGGCAGCTGCAAGGACCTGGCTTCAACCCACAAAGGACCTTGCACGTGAGGCTAGGGAGAGGGGTGGGGGAGCTGCTGTGGCTTCATCCTAAACCAAGCCTATACCCACCTGGACAGTGCTGGCCTGGCTACACCATGGGGAAAGACACCTCCTGGCTGGGCATCCCCAGGGAGCCTGAGCAAGTCCCTCAGCCAGAGGCACCAGCAAAAGCAGAGGTCAGGGCTGAGCCATTCTCTGCCCGTCTTGGCTCTTAACAAGATGCAGCGGTGATACCCAAGACAGCAGAACAGGGAGACTAAAACCAAGAAAACAGTAACGCAGGAGCTGCAGAAGGGAATCTCTGGGAGAGAAGGTGGTTCACCATCACCCAGCCTCCAGCAGCTTCACAGCACCGTGCCCAGGGAGGTTCAACGTAAGCCTTGGTGGAGCACAAAACCCCTGTGCCAGGCTCACACATCCCCCAACAGGTGATGCACAGCCTGGCCATTCTCCCCTGCAGCCCACTACCCACCAGAGGAGCAGCTGGTAACAGCCAGGGGCTCCCACGCAGGACCTGTAAGCTGTGTACGACATTTCAACTGGTCCTCTCCTGCTCCTGTAGCTGTGGCAAGAAGGGACAGCAGGAGATGTGGTTCCCCACCAGCCAGCATCCACACTGAAGCTGCAAGAGACACTCGGACCAAGGCACAGCACAGGAGTGAAAGGAAAACGGCAAGCAGAGCCCTGTCTGGAGAGAGGCTCCAGGACGAAGTCTCATCAAGGAAGAAGCAGAACCACAGAAAGGACAAGTAACACTGGCAACTTATTCTTCATTCACCCATTGAAAAACAGAAACAGGATCATTTTTGGATGTATTTCTTTTGGAAATGAGCCAAACTGGCAACTAGAATCAAAGTCTTCAAAAAGTCTATACAAAGATGTATCATACAAAATGTACAGGAAAGTTCTCCAAAAAAAAAACCAAAACAAAAAAACCACAAGAACAAAAAAACCCCACCAAAACAAACCGGACAGACAATACAACAGAAGGAGAGCGAAGACGGTGTGAAACCACAGCTAACAGATCCTGCCCCTGCTCTGGAGGGCAGCAGTGGCATCCAGACAACACACTCCGAAACAAAATACATTACACTATGTACAGGATCAGCATATTACACTATGTATAAAGATCAGCATCCCCTTTGGTCTAACCAGGAGCTCTCCAGCATGACGTTGGGGCAGTTCAAACCATCTGCTCATGGAAGTGTTACATGCTGAGAGGGGAAAAAGTCCAAGGGAATGAAATGGTCAACTTTAAACCATAACCAGAATACAGCCAGGCTACAGAGTTTAACAGTCAGTTCTGGCTAACAAGTGCTTTCCGGGCCCAGAGTGCATTACTCCATCTCTGTGAAGCGAGCAAACATGGCTTTCCGCACCGCGTCTTTGTACGAATCTGCAGTGGAGACACCGTAGGAGCTGCCCTTGGCTCCCAAACCAGCTCCTCTCATTCGTACTTGGGCCTGCAAGGGAAGAGACACACACTTCAGCTCTGCGGTGAGGCAGCACCGCCACGCAGGACACCACAGAAGAACTCATCTGTCCAGCCAGCTCCTCGGGCTCCACGAGGGATCCCACACAGCCACCAATGCTGACCCCAGGCTGTGTACAAAACATCCTGTGCTTGCTGGCTTCATACTGCTCCAACCCCACCCCAGCAGCAGCCAAACTAAACTTCACAAAACACAGTTCCCAACAGCATAGCCCAGAGCACAGACAAACCCGGGAAAGCCGACAGCTGGAGGCAGGGCAGCCAACCCCAGCATCCCCAGGGCTGCAACAGTGCCTCAGGAGCTGACTTCAGAAGGAAGCACAGCCCTGCTTGTCCCAAGTCCCAGCTCTGCTCCAGCTTTAGCATCCAACTGATAAACAGGAACAGGAGCCAATATGAAGAGAGGCAGCTTTGCCACGTACGGCGCAGCTTCTTCCACAAGAGATCTTCAGCAGTGAGTGCTTCTGGACAAAAAAAGGCACTGGGGTTCATCAAGGAAGGATTCCATCTCTACTTACCTCAATGGGTGCTGTGATGCCCTGACATTTTCTTCCCAAGCCTGAACCTTCCCTCCAGCCCATGGCCTGCAGCATCTTGTTGCCTATATTACTGTTGTCCAGGCCATCTTTGGTGGGCTGCTCATAATTACTACAGGAAGAAGAGATCAGTTAACTGAACTGCTCATTGTGCACTGAAGCAATCGCTGAGGAGCTTTTGGATACTTACACTGTGCCAGCATCGTAGGCCTTCTTGCGCTTGGGCTCAGGGGGCTCTGGGATGCCGTACTTCTCCCGCCTCTCAGCCGCTCTGTCTCTGTATTTCATCTGCATGAGGTAACCAGATTTAGTACTGATTAAAAGGCATTTTTGTTCATCTTTGAACTACGAAAGTAAGCTAAACACCTGCTATTACAGAAAGCTGTCAGCCTCCTAAAATATAGCTTGACTAACACAAGTCCCTGGAGCTCATCAGAACCTGCACTGGGGAACAAAGAGCCCCAAACACCTGCTGGATTAGCTGCTGAGTGCCACTCAAAGGCTTCTGAGCCCACGCTGGAGGCGGACAGACCCTTCCCCACTAAGCAGTAGCTGCGGGATATGGGATACTTCTCTCCATGTAACCTCCTCTGAGCCCTGACCTAAGAAGGGGTTGGCTTACAAGGATTAATCTCAAGTGATGTGTGTTGGGCTAAGGAGAGCTCAACATATCATCTGTGCAGGCTTTCCATTAGGTACCCATCTGCTCAACACTGACCTCTCTCTCACGCAGCTCCAAAGCTTCAAGTTCCTGCTCTGAAAGCTTTGACCTCCGGTAGATGTCCATGTTTTGCTGGAACAAGAAGAGATTCACACTCACATCATGAAATGCAGAACAGCTCTTTTTACATAGAGCAACAATCCACCTGCAACTATTTTTGCTTTAAGAGTTTTTTGAACAGCAATATGCATCACAGCTTCGATTTATATACTGAATTATGGCAACCAAGTACGCTCCTGGCAGCACAGTGCAACTACCTTGTGCAAGTCAGACAGCTGCTGGTGCCGAATCAGAGCATCTTTATTTGGGAACTGCCTTCGACACAGCAGACAAGCCATCTTCTTCCAGTCGGTCAGCTTCTCTTCCTCATTCTCCATTCTTTCCAGCAAGTCCTCATCATTATCACTATCACCACTGTAGGCAGCCACAAGGCCACGCTGGGAAGGAAGGACAGCGTTAAGGGGAGTGGCACCAGTGGCACCACAGCTCAGAGGAGAGCAGAGAGGTGCAGATGTGTTTGTTACACAGGAATCGTGCTCATATGATACTGAGGATGAAATGCAACTCAAAAGAACCACATACCACAGTAGCTGCAAGACTTAGTTCCCACTAGCCAAACAGTAATCCGGAGTACAATGAAACCTCCAAAACTCAACTGAGCTCTTGAGGCAGCTTTTCTCAGAGTGTCTCAGTGACCCAGCCCACTGGACCTCTTGCACCACACCACCGTAACCACAACCCTTTACAGATGATGCCACGGAAAGCAAGTATCTGCTAGACCCCCTCTACAGTGCTTTACCAGTAACCTTCGGGAACACCTCTGGGAGGTATCACACTCACCTTCAGGGGATTTTCATCATCTCCGTTTTTCATCACCTCTGGCAAGATCTGCTGCCTCTCAGACAAAGCTCCCTGGGTGAGACAAAAGTGCCATGAGCTCCCAAGCTCTCTGCCATCCCACACCTTGCTGCCCACTATTGACAGCACCTTCACCTTTTTCTCAAAGAGCGCAAAGCCTGCATCTGCAGCTGCCGACTCCTTCCGCTCCTCCTCCCTGGTACTCAGTGGCTGGAAGCTATTCTTGAAGTTCTCCTTCTGCTTGTTCAAACTCTTTGCCCAGCGCTCCATGTCTTTGGCAATCTGAAATGCAGAGTGGTTTGCTCAGACAGCTCCCCTCACAGCTATCAATCTCCTATGACAGAGATTCAATCCTACATACAGTTTCCAGAACAAGTCAACCCACCACCTTTTATTTTTAAATCACAGGACACTGGATGCAGCACAGCTGTGTCCCTGTACACAGCATTCAACGATACCGCAGCTCGCTTGTTTTACTGCATGAACCCTTCTTACCAAACTAACCCTCTAAGTGACGGCTCAGTTATACTCCCACTGGTCCTGGCATGATTCCATATGCATTCTTCCTATGCAGAGCTTATTTCTGCACTGAAGCCTTGCCAACTCCACCCCCTCCTCAGCCCTCTACAATACCTGCAAATTGTAGGCATACACCCCACTGAATAACCTAGGATTTTCTTTGTCATGAGAAAAAGAGAACTATTATCCCATTCCACAGAAGATTTTAGCCCAGTTACAATCCCATTTTGTCTTTTACCTGTTGAGCTGTTTTACTCTTAGGCTTCTCTTTCTTCTCCTTCACTTCTTTGGTGGTGGTTGTGGCAGCTGTCTGTTGGTATGTGACACCTTCCGCAGCAGGCATGTAGGTCTCCTTTTCGCCATCCCAGTAAAGGTACTGCTGGGTTAAGGCATTGTAGTAATACTGCCAGAAGAAAAGAGTGGAGCAGTTAAACATCTCGTATAAGCTGAGCGGTGGAAAAGTGTGTTGCAGAGTCCAAACAAGTTTTGCAGACTCCACAGAGGAGTCTAAAGGCACGAAGTGGCTGAAGCCTCTGTCCCCAAACACAGGTGGTTCTGCCCAATGGCACTATGGAGAGGAACTTCTGCCTCTCCCAGGAGATGGCCCATCAGAGCCCAGAGCTTGGTGCACTTTGCTGGGCACCCTGCAATGAAATAGCTTACATACAGGGTCTGTGGCAAGTGCCAATGCTGTATGAGCCAAACTGGGAGAAAAATTAAGGAAAGGAGATCAAAAACAAAGGGCTCTTCCAGAGGGAAGTCAAGTCCCAGCCCTACACACACTGCTGAGGGTTATCTGCTACACTCAGTATTTTGTGCACCTCAGAAAGTAAATTTCACTCATATGACGACAGGGAACTAATGGACCTTAACAGTTAAGACAGGTGGGAAGAACTTGTGATTACCTGGGAATTAGGATCATAGTAGAGCCCTGTTATAGGATCATAATAATATCCTGAAGATTCATCATATTGGTAGGTAGAAGTGTCAGGGACAGCTGTAAAAAAATTAAAGTGTGGGACATGGTCGTTCCAGTCGAATTCAGACAGGTATCTTTCCACATTTCATGTAAAATTCTGAGATTATTAGCAGCCACGACGGCAGGCATGTCCGTGAAGGGCTCTTAAACACCCGTGCAGGATACACTCTCTGGAGACAGCTTCACCACTGACATATGGTGATAAGAGTACTCAGCCAAAGCAAAGTCTCTCTCGCAGTACAGTGACAGATACCTGTCCCCAAGAGCAAATCCTGATTGCTTACCATACTTGGTTCCAGGAACTACGCCTGTCGGGGGAGCTGTTTGTGCCTGAGTGCTAGTGGTAGGTGGTGCTGACTGTGTCTGAAAAACACCCAAAACCAGGAATCTCAATTAGAAATCTGTTGCCGAGGTGCAAGAAAACAAGGACAGCTAGCCGAGGTGTAAGCAGCCCACACCACACACACAACAGCTACCGCTCAGTACACTTGGCACTTGCCTTTAACAAAGAACAAACTATCAGAAAGAAGAAGTGGCAGATTTACAGAATCACAGAACATTAGGGACTGGAAGG